GGACCATTTCATGCATCGCGGTGCTATATTGTCATGGTTCGGGCTGTTTTGTGTCGCATTTCAGTTCTGAAATTTGCATGCTAGCATATCATATTTCATGCCTTGCCATGTCTTGTTAGAGTGGGCATTTGGTGCCTTAGGTTTGGTCCTCGGTTTGCGTGCATGCGTGCGCGTGTCCGCCCTAAAAAATATGCCCATTATATATTCATTGACATGCATTATTTAAGGAAAACACTTTAATAATTCATTATAATCCATCAGAAGTCTTACTAAACAAAAGCATTACATGTAACATCAAAGTAAATGCCACTACGGCTTTACATCTTTCCAAGCCAACACTTGGACACAAAGGTATGAGTTCTAACTCAGAATATAAATAAAGCCTAGGCTGTGAGTTTTACATGGTACTAACAACGAAAACAAATAAACTAAAATAGTCTCAAAACCAAGTCCTTCCAAGCTAAGTCCTTGGAGGTAGTTATCACCTGAACCTGAAAATGATGTTCCCATAAAGTGAGCCACAGCCCAGTAGAAATATACTTAAACCCACATATAAAGCAATGAATAAAGCAATAGGCATCAACAGTGTGAACCAAGATAATCAATTACTTCATTTTACAGTCTCATTGAACACTATGTGTCTAATACACGTTTTACTTTCCAGTTTTATCAACATGGCTCAGAACCTGGCCAAACTTACAACAGTGAACCATACATAATATATTCACATTCTTCCAATGTCAACAAACAGATGAGACTCAGTCTCAAATCAAACACTTCATACTTCCAGTTTGATACACATTTTAGTGCTGTATCAATAAAACACTTCTATATAAATAAGCACACATAAAAGTGATGCTAATGGAGTCCATCCCCTATCTCCTCCCAAACAAAATCCGGTTTAGAGGTCCATCCCCTATCTTCCCCTAAACCGTGGAGTACATCCCCTATCTCCTCTCCCACACAAAACAATGTATGCAAATGCAATGCTCAATCAATACACGTATTTTCTGTATCAATGCAATACTCAAAATTAATGACTTAACCAATGTGATTAGTTTCAGTTATTCCTAATCCACATGTAATATCTACAACAATCACGACTATCCTCCACCGATAGCCCAAAACAGTTATTTCTAGACTGAAAATAAATATATAAACAATTCAATGGGCGAGTGATTTACATTATCCAACCACACCATTTAAGCAATAAATTTCCCAATTTCATGAATTTAACCAAATTCCCCAATTCCCTTAAATTAATTTTACAAATTAATTAATTTAAACAACTAGGGTTTTTCCCCAAAATTATCAAAGTAACCCCAACTTATCAAAATACCAAAACTTAGAACAAAACCTATAAAATGGAGTAGGAAATCCCTACCTCGAAGAAAACAACCCAAATGGAGAAGACAGAGATGAATACCCAAATACCAATGTGCTCCAAACCGCCAAATGTTCAGATTAAATGAAAGCCCTCGACTCCCTCTATCTTTTTAATAAAGCAACTAGGGTAGAAACACACTCCAAATAGATCAAACCTAAGAGAGAAGGTGAGTAGGGAGAGAGAGAAGTCTGACCTTAGGGTTTGGAATCTAAAAAGATGATGGAAACTGATAAAAAAACCCGCTGCTGTCTAATTAAACTGGACAGGTTCGCTCGAGCGAAAACTTGGTCGCTCGAGCGACCAGACACAAAAAAAACTACGCTCGAGCCAAGGAGGCCTTGCTCAAGCCAACAACCCAAAAGCTCACTCGAGCGAAAGAAATCTCGCTCGAGCGAAGAACTCAAACCCTCAGGTCTGAAACCAGACACACGCTCGAGCGAAAGAACTCCCGCTCGAGCGAAGAACGAACTAACTCGCTCGAGCGAGGAAAAGCTCGCTCGAGCCAAAAACCTCAGCTCTCAGGTCTAACTACAAAATGCAATCCTCGCTCGATCGAAGAAACCCTGGCTCGAGCGACGAACCAAAACAAAGAGTTCGCTCGAGCGAAGAACTTCTCGCTCGAGCGAAGGGTCAAAATTCTGGGCAGCAACCCTTTGCTCCCAAGCCTAACCAACCTGCTACAAACCTGCCCATTGCATCCCCCAACTCAGAAATAGAGAAATAAAGGACGGTAACAATCATAATACAATGGCAGGAGCTACGGAACCTAAGTCCGGATACAATAAACAAATGGGAAAAGACCGGGGTCGCTATAGCGCGTATCTCGAGTTATCTCTTTTTCATCTGATGGCGTCTTATGTGAGTGTGGCTGAGGTCCACTCATGTTAGTGTAAGTCCGAGTGCATTGTGTATGCCATTTCATTTCATAGCATTGTGTATGCTAGGCCGTATGTTAGCGCATTGTGTATGCCATGTTACCTCGTGTATCGTGTATGCCATTTCATAGCATCAAGCATGCTAGGTTGTATATTAGTTGCATTCATGCATGTCATGCATACTGTATTATGCTTGGGATAGGAGTTAGCCCGAGCACGGGAAACGAGGTACGTTTCGTACTCCGAGTGACGGAACGTGTCTCAATTCCCCAGTCACCGACACTCCGGATTATCCATGATGGAGTTAGGTCTTGTTGTGTTTATATATGCATTCATTCTATATTGAGTTGCACAATTCGACTCCTCGGCCATCATGCATCGATATGCGTGATTGGTGGCACGAGGATCGAGACATGCATACATTTGTGAAAATACATTACTATGCCCTTTTCCTGCTCTCTATTGCAGCAAATAAAAAACTAGCAACCTTCCGAAGCTTGGCGCGCTTTCCAAGAATAATTGTAAAACAGAGGCTAATCGGGGCATCCCAGTGGATTTCCGCGCAAGGCAGCCCAGACATGCATCATCCATCATCTGAAGAAGAGTTAAGGCAGTCCCTAGCTTGCATGCCAGTTTATTATTTTTCTTAGTTAATTGTAAATTAATTAGGAATTTGTATATATTTGGACTGTATTATTTGGACTGTAATTATTTGGGACTGTACTTATTCATTCGGACCCTCTGTACGAGGGCATAATTGTAATTAGTGTGGGTGAGTGTGATGTATGTCTTCCAACCCCACATCTTTCTTCCCTTTTATTTACCTGCTTATGATGGTTAGATTAGGGCATGTTTAAATTAGCATACAGTATGACAGCATGTTTGCATTCATTCATCTGTTTTGTAGTGCACGGGCTCGCGCACATACTAACTGCATTTGTATTTCAATGCCAAGTTGAATTACTTGTTAAAGCTGTTGCATCTCAAATATGCCATGTTTAGAATAGCCGAGCCTTGCTATAGTTGCATTTTGCATGTGCTTGCATTAGGCTTTCTGTATATTTAGACATGCTATGATTTCTAACCTAGTCTTCTGTTTGCTTGAACGATACTCGGTGAGTTTTATGCTTTAGCATCTTGCATTGCGTGTGAGTGACTGCCCATGAATAGCATGCTTACGCATAGGCTATTGCTATAGTGATTAAACTTGCCTGAATGCCTGTGGGATGAAGGTTGGGTTATTTGGATTGGAACAATTCACAAATGTATGTTTTAACCCACTAGATAGTGGCCAAAAATCATGTTTTTAAGCCCACCCGAGGGTGGCAAATCTACGTCTTAGCCTACTTGCGAGTAGCACCATCAAACCATCTTTCAAATAAACAAACATGAAATGTTTTGTTTCAACTCAAACGATCCAGTCTATACTTGTATGTTGTGTGCATCACATAGTAATTTTAGGCTAATAACCGGAATAAGAGCACATAATGTTTTCAAAACTCGATATCATGGTTAGTAGAGGCCGATCTTTGATCGGGCGAGCGGGGGTGCTCACGAAGTGACCTTCCCCAATCGTACCCAAGTTCTCGAGCCGAGGCAACTTTGGTGATGACAGACACGTGGCCTTAGGCAACGAGTCAGGATTTCCTAAATTTTACCAAAATAAAATATTTAGGTGGCGACTCTGTATCTGGCAAAGCAGTCCATGTTTGACACTTCTTTTCTAAAAATCTGTTTTTCTCAAAACGATTTGCCGGATTTAGACTCTTTGGTTTAGACTTAGAACCGTAACAATTTAAGAGTCCTGAGCTGTAGTGACCCCAAATGAACGGAACGGGAGCTCACCCTCCCGGGGCGTTCGGGGGACGTCTACACTAACCAATGAAATTTTCTTATGGCAATTACCAGTTATGGTTAATGCTAATTTATTACATTTTGCCCTATTATGAATTTTTTTTTATGGTTTAGACATATTGGCAAACACATGGTAGGCAAATTTTAAAGGGAACCAAATATGAATAAACAAGAGCATGAATGTAGGGCAAGAAACATAATCAAATACATCATTGAAGATAGGACGAGACAGAAGAGAATATACCAGATTTTTTGGTTTGTTGCAGATAACACCTAACTATAGAATGAAGAGTTGTATATATAAAATTTTCTACATTTGAGCATCTGATGCAAAGCACATAAATCACATGGACACACCGCTTGTCCAATCTGGAGGTCTAACCAATTCCCACAATCTGGAATATGTATTATATCTACAGATTTTGGGGCAAAACCATAGCCACATCTTAGAGATCAATTTTACCTCTTCTCTTACAATCATGTGGAATACATACACATATCTATGCAATTTCTTTCAAACAAGGTAGAAGGCATAGAAGAGGCAATAACCACATGTTAAAGCTAAAGTCTTCACTACTTTCGTTTGTAGCACATTCAGAATTCTTAGAGAAACCATTGAGCCAGCAAACAGAGGTTAAGCGGTTCAATTTGTCTGTTGCAAAGCATTAGAAATGAAGCAAGCAACAATGTTACACCACTGCAAACAGCAGCGTTATACCACTGTTACATGCTTTTTATATAGGTTATAGATATACTTCACAGCTTCATGGCACTGCACTGCACTCAGTATTGCTAGCTAGGGTTTTCTTTGTTAGAGAGCTCCTCTTGCTTTGTAGGTTTTCTTTTGTTTAACCTACAATGAGTGTTGTGGTTGGTCGGTTCAATTTGTCTGTTGCAAAGCATTAGAAATGAAGCAAGCAACAATGTTACACCACTGCAAACAGCAGCGTTATACCACTGTTACATGCTTTTTATATAGGTTATAGATATACTTCACAGCTTCATGGCACTGCACTGCACTCAGTATTGCTAGCCAGGGTTTTCTTTGTTAGAGAGCTCCTCTTGCTTTGTAGGTTTTCTTTTGTTTAACCAACAATGAGTGTTGTGGTTGGTTTGTTTCTTGTATTAGTCATATGTGGTGGAATTGTTGTTACAGATGTTAATGGAGTTAAAGATGATAAACACTTACTTGGCCATCATGAAGGAGGTTTAGGGCATGGGATATACAAGAAGGGGTTTCGAAATGGGTTTGGTAAAGGTGGTAGGTTTGGTGGAGGTATAGGAGGTGGTGGTTTAGGTGGCGGAGGTTGTCTAGGGGATGGTGCTAGTAGTGGTTTAGGAGGTGGAGGGGGTCTAGGGGCTGGTGCTGGGGGTGGTTTAGGAGGTAGGGGAGGTCTAGGAGGTGGTGTTGGTGGTGGTGTAGGAGGTGGGGGTGGTCTAGGATGTGGTGTTGGTGGTGGCGTAGGAGGTGAATGTGGTGCTGGCGGTGGTTTAGAAGGCGGTTCTGATGGAGGCTTAGGAGGTGGAGGTGGTGTAGAGGGTGGTTTGGGAGGTGGAGGTGGTGCCAGTGGTGGTTTAGGAGGTGGAAGGGGCGTAAACGTTGGTGTAGGTGGTGGTGGCTTAGGAGGTAGAGGTGGAGGTGGTGCTGGTGGTGGCATAGGAGGTGGACGTGGACTTGGAGGTGGTGCAAGTGGTGTTGGTGGTGGCGTTGGAGGTGGAGGTGGACTTGAAGGTGGCGCAAGTGGTGGTTTAGGTCATGGTGAAGGAATAGGAGGTAGTGCAGGTGGTGGTGGGAGTCTAGGAGGTGGTGCAGGTCATCATGGAGGACTCGAAGGAGATGTCGATAGTGGGTTGAGTGGTGGTGCAAGTGGAGGAGCTGGTGGTGGAGGTGGACTTGGTAGTAGCCTTGGTGGCGGAGGTGATGAAGGCTTAGGTGGTGGTGTTGGCGGGGGTGTAAGTGCAGGTGCTGGTGGAGGTCCTGGTGGTGGTGGAGGCGGAGGTGGTTTAGGTGGCGGTGCAGGAGTAGGGTTTGGAGTCGGTGCAGGTTTCGGAGTAGAGGGAGGAGTTGGAGATGGGGGAGGTGGTGGCTTTGGTGGAGGTGGTGGAGTAAGCAACAGTACTGGTTTTGGTGGAGGAGCTAGATTTGGTGCCCGTGGTAGCCATTAATGTCACGCCCCGAATAATATACACAATATAAATCCCTCAATTTTTAATTACATTATCTTGTTTTCAAATCAATCCTTCCAATGCTTAACATGTATAAGGAAAAAAATAAAGTCTCAACGTAGACATCATCATCAATCTCTATCTTGTGTATTCATTTAACTCCAGAGATTTACAAAAACATATTCCACATGCGAGTATATATTCAACATTTCTAGAACATGAATCTATAGCATGTAACACAATAAGTCAAGCATAATCAAACGCCCTTAAGGGCCACAAATTCCAAGACTTATGCCCGGTTACACAAAAGTGATTTCTCAAACCCATATATATAAAGCCCTTGGCTTATCATAATTACAACAAAAGAGAAAAGCCTTGTGCTCTCAAAATATACTCCATGCCTTTAACTCGGCGGGATCACCACATCCTTTCCTGCACAAAATCTCATAGGGTGATCATAAAGCCCAGTAGAAAAATCTTAATAAAGTATATGCATTTTATACGATCTCCTAAGATGAATGCAAATGCTATGCCATGTTCAAAACATACATCTCTATCTTTGAAACTTTTGTTCACAATGCAAATTTGAGAATTTAACAATTCAATGATTTCAATGTACTTCAAAGGGGCGGTAAATACGACTCAGGTAATCTCTAGGTTGGTGTCTGCAAGTAGGCATAACTAGCACTACTAAATCCCCACTTTACCGGTAGCTAACGAGATGGCACGTGGTACCTCCTCCGTGCGTGTTTTCGATCTTTCACCATAGACACTCAGGCTAACTTAACCAATACCAACTGCACCCTCTATCTGAACTTACCAATGTATTTACCCCCAAAACAAATCCATATGATCTTGTTTTACGGATTAATTTCCTTTCTCAAAACAATACTTTTCTAATGCAATATTCAAAATCAATTGCATCAATGATAAAATGGGATGACAATGCAAATGTCCATTAAAATACTAAAGTTCCATTTAATAATCTCAACAGTGCCAATTCAAAGTATTTCTATATCAATGCCTTGAAATTTCTCAATTTCTTAATTCATTCACACAATCTTCCATTGTGATCAAATTCCACATCTCTTATCAATATAACAACATAATATATATTCCCAAGAGATAATGTAACAATATCAACATTCATGTATTCTCCGCATGTTAAACGTTATTTTCTAAACTCGATTTTCCAAGACAAACCACTGATAAGTTTTTAAAATTAACTATTCTCATTTCCTTCATGAAATTCCCTCATTTGATATGTACGGGGGTGAAATATTCTCAATTCTCCGTACTTCTTGAACCCAAGCTTCACGTAATGTCGCTTAACTTGAAAATAGAAAGATGGTGAGCTGTCTGACGGTGTGCTGCCGGATAAACCCTTCGACGATCAAGCCAACACACTTGGAGAAGAATTAGAAGAAGAATGGAGAGAGCCCTTTAGAGAGAGAGAGAGAGTTGGGAATTCCTTCGGATTGCTTACCATTATCCTCTCAATCTTTCTCATTTTCTAGGCTAGCCATGTAGTTTCAGAGATTGTGGACGCACTACTTCTGTTGTTCTTCTCTGGCCAGGTGGCTATGCTCTCATCTACCTTCCTTACACGTGTAGAGACCAATACCTCCAAGCAGTATTTGTCGAACTGCCAAATGGTATTGATGTATACCAGGAGTGGATTTTCCCTTATTTACCATTGGTCCAGGTGGCCTACACAACTGGGCTATCACTTGGAATAAATAGACATCACAACGGACTGGAATGACCGAGCTATAGTAAACCGGTCCATCTGAATTGACTGGTCGTAGGGTGCACGGTTCGGCATCTCGGCCTCGCCCTGCTATCTCGTAGGACGCCTCAGTCCTACGTTAGTCCGGACTGTCCGTAGCTCGGCCCAACGCATTAGTGCGGATCTAACCGAATATCGGGTTTTGCCATCATAGCTCGGTTGAGCACCTGCACGCTTCCACATTCTAGTCGGTGGTCTGCCCAGCCCAACGTAATGGACCAGGGAGCCGTATTGCTGTCGTTTGGTCAGGCATAGGGGTCTTTGGCCCTCGCAAGGCCTAACACCATATCCCGTGCTGCCGTAACTCGGCCCACTTGTTCGGTGCAAATCTCCCTCTTAATTGCCCCTTAATCCCATCCGAGCTGAGTGTGATTAGGATTACTACTCTGACCGAGCTATCCGATCTGGTCAGTCATTGAGGATTGCGCCAGTAGTCTTGTCATCGATCAATCAGCCGTATTGACAAACCATCTTTTTAACGCCATGTGGCTTTCCGTCATTGGTTTCGTGCAATCCCACAACTGTCTACATTATACCAAAGATTTGAAAAATTGCAGCCTATTCGGTTTCCCCTCATATGTACACACAAAAAGCCCAAAGACCCTTATCACTGTTCATCTCCCCTTTGCAAAAACCCTAAGCCTTAGACCTTTAAGCTTCGGCCACCGCCGTCGTTGCTGTCGCTATCGCTGTTGCTGTCGCCGTCGTCACTCATTTTCTAGCTGTTTTCAGCTTTTTCTGTCCTCATGAAGGCCACAGTTAGGGTCGTGGTCGACTGGGTCTTGACTTGGCATCCACACTCATAAGTTTTTCCCACTTTCCTTTCTATTCTCCATTTTTGTTCTTCGTGTTCTTAATTCCTATTTGTTTTGTGACTGTTGAAATATTGTCGATGCCCCTTTTGTGGGATTAACACCAGTGGAAATTAGGCTAAATCAAAACCCAAAGTATTAACGGGGCTTCTTTGCCCTTCATTTTCCTTGATTACTGTAGGTGATTCTGGATTTAGGATGAACACTGAAAATTCTGGGTAAAACCGATCAAAAACCCACTTTTAGATCTAAAAATAGGATTTAGCGGAGCCAAAATTGGTTCGAGGTCCTCCCTTGAGACTGAGACCAAGCTGTGAGTTGTAGGAAGATCGAACTGAGATAGGAACTGAAATATTAGAATGAGCACCACAACTGGTCAAACGCCCCAATATCTCATATTGAGCTAAAACACTTCCTCATAAGAGTTGTGCAAGTTATTCCGCGCTAATACTTGGACTTATTTTTTAATAATGCAGAACAAACTAGGACTAACCAGGCTCATTCAGCATTACTGTCGGTGAGGCTCAAAGACCGAGCAAACAATCACCCAATTTTGACTGAGCTACAATCAAAATTACCCAACTAAATAAAACCGGGATAGATGGGAAAGTACCGATTTATTGTTAGTTTGCCTGGGGCAATGGCCGAGTTCCATAGAGAATACAATATTCCAGACGACGTCCACTTGGAGCTGGCCAAGAAAGGAGACACTTCCTGGGGTGAACTGGACAAATGCCCTTTCACGGTCATGTTTATTGTGGAAGGCGGCTTACGCTTCCTTGTCCAACCCCTAGTCTGCGAATTTTTTAGGCAGACTGGGCTGTGCCCTACCCAAGTCTCCAACAACACATACAAAATAATAAACGGCGTGGCCGCGCTGAATAGGATACTCGGTCTGAATCTCGGCCTCGCTGAGATATTCCACCAGTATACACTTAGCAAAAATAAAGGAGGATTTTGCTGGTATCTCAAAGTTAGGAAAGGCTGAGCAAAACTTATTGAGGGTAACCCGGATAAAGAGACAAGCGACGACGATTTCCTATGGGTGTCTGGTAATTACGAGGACACTGAAGCGCCCATACTGGGCTGGTACATAAGAAAAGACTATAGGAGCGTTGGTGAGCACCTCAGTATGCTTTTAATTTTGTAACTGTTCTTGTTTTTGCCGATCTAACCCTTGCTTTCCTTTTGCAGACTATAAACTCTTGGCGGACGACTACTCTCGCGCCAACCAAGAAGCTACAAGGGTTGCTTTGCGGCACCCGGCTGAGGAGCGAAAGCCTTAAAAGTTGGTCGGTTAGGAACCAAGTTACCGTTACATGGCACCATACAGGAGCAGGGTGACCAACTTCCTTCGTGCCCCTTTTCCAGAGCTAGATCAAACCTTCCGCCAATCAAACTTGTACCACTGACAGAAGAACAAGAAATGGCCAAAATCCGAGCCATAAAGTCTATGATCATGGGGGAGCCGAGTGACTCACAACCGGCTAAGACAACATGAGGCTAAACTTCTAGGCCTGCCATGCAAGAAGGGCCCGTGCTAGCTCTTGCCAGTGAGCAAGTTGCTGGTTGGTCGAAAAAAAGGCCGAGGCGGGAGCAGACCGAGTAGCGCCTTGTCGACATGCCCCTTTTCCAGAGCTAGATCAAACCTTCCGCCAATCAAACTTGTACCACTGACAGAAGAACAAGAAATGGCCAAAATCCGAGCCATAAAGTCTATGATCATGGGGGAGCCGAGTGACTCACAACCGGCTAAGACAACATGAGGCTAAACTTCTAGGTCTGCCATGCAAGAAGGGCCCGTGCTAGCTCTTGCCAGTGAGCAAGTTGCTGGTTGGTCGAAAAAAAGGCCGAGGCGGCAGCAGACCGAGCAGCGCCTTGTCGACAAAGATTCAGCAGGCTGCCATTAGCTGAACAGGGAGAGCAGACTAAACAACAACTTTTCGGGCGATCCACCTATTCCACTGCCCCTCCAGTCTGGTCACCTGAGCTAAAATACAAGGGCCGAGCAATGACGGTGGAGGACTCCGTTTACGGGGATAAGGGCCATTCGCTCAGCTTCAACATGACCAAGGGTTTATTTCTCCCTTTTGACAGGAAGAAGCATAAGGAACTGTCCGATCTGAAAGGCCTTCGGGCGATGGCAAAATCAATCGTTCTAGTAAGTGATTACGTTATTGTACTTCAAGTTATTTATCGGTTTCTCATACTAACTTCTGCCCTACTGCAGGCTACGCAGAAAAACTACTTGGCGCACGAGTGTATGATTTCAGTGCGGTAGAATTTGAGGGAGGCTATTACTGACAAGGAGGCCAAAACGACCGAGCTGGAGAAGTTGAAAACTGCACATGAGGCAATATTGAACGAGTGGGATCTCCTAGCTGAGAAGTTGGCAAAGG